GATAAACCATCTAACAAAAAAGCAAAGCAGATAAAAAAAGAATCACTTACACTAAAGAAACTTATAGAAGAATTATCTATCGAACCTAGTACTCCGCAAGTTCTTGTAACTAAAAAAGAAAATGCAAATAATTTTGTTGATTTGTACAATAATATAACCCATGCAGAAACTGAAAATGAAATTATAAATCGGGAAGTTATAACCAGCTATTAGCTTTTCGATAAAGCACTTGAGGATAAGTATGATCATTATAAAAAAAATAATTCTAAACGTACAGCTCAGGTATTAGTTAATAAAGAAGTTAGATCGCAACTTCCAAACACTGTTAGTGATGACTTACTTTGAAAGAAAAAAGAAAGGGCACAAAAAATTTATGAATTATTTACCGAAATTGGTGTTGATAAGATTCAGCGTGTTAAATCAATTACAGCTTCATCAATTTTGAAATTAAGTCAAGATGAAATCGATGCTATATTAGTCTATTTTTCACAAAAATAATTTTTTACTTACTGCGCCTTATATCACGTGACGTTGTGACCTTGGGTTACAATCTATATAATAAATTTTCAAATAAATTATGTATCAAATTGTTTTCAGAATTTTTATATGTTGCATAAAATTTTTTGTTTATGATGCGGAGTCTTAGCTTTACGAGGTTTGTTTGTGAGATGAGGCACAATCACAAAGTGCTATACAATGCGGGTCTATATAATAAAAAAAATTTTTAGCCACGTATATTATTTTTTCTGTTAATATATAATTATGAAAAATCAGAATAACATATTAACAAATAAAAAAAGTCAAAATTACTTCGAAAAGTGGCATATCTTTAGAGGTTGGAAGCACAGGTGTAAGGTTTGTGACGAATGCAATCATCATTCACATCTATATTGTAAAACGTGCAAAAAAGTAGTGGATAGAATATATAAACGATGTGAATGTGATAGTTTTTTAAAGAAAGAAGCGATAAATAAAAGCTTCACTATTTCATAATAGTTTCAAGTTCCTAACTCATCCTCGAATAATTATGAATAATCATGATAAATAAAAATAATAAAAATAAATTTTCGTCATGAAATAAATGCTGTAATTATAGTTTAAGAATTTATATAACTTTTATTGTGACATTGATGTCACACCTCTTCAGAAATAATTTTCTATACGCTTGAATAACAATAAACAAATTCTTTCTTTGTTACAGAAAAATACAATACGTATCAGTGTCATTTTATCGTATAATAATATATGACCTGTTGTACAACAACTGATTGTTTGTATAAACTATAAAAAGGTAGAATGTACGACTACTTCTTACTAAAAAAATTTTTTTTGTCCTATCTAACTAAATACATAAAATAACCATGTCTACTGCCAGAAAAAAAGTTTTTCCTGCTGATGAAGTGAGAGGATGTAAAACAACAGAACAACTAATAGAGTTTTTGGGCAAACAAAAACAAAACTTAGGACTTAAGGATAAGCATCTCGATTTTCTTCGTGAACAAGAATTTAAAGGCGAAACCTTTCTCAACTTGAGTATTAAAGAACTCATCGATATTGGGTTAAAAGGAGAACCGGCTAAAACGATTATTAAGTCAATTAATAAAATTAAGAACAAGAATCAGGGTAAGTGCCACAACTGCATTTGAATATTCCAAACCTATACTGCTTTCTCCACAATAATTTCATTTATTAACTTGGCCTCATATATTTATTCTTGTTATATAGAGCAAAAGTTTTAAGGTTTGTTAATTTATATAGCCATACTCATTAAAGGCATTTGCTGAAAAAATATGTGAATAACTAAAAATACTTTTATTTTTTTCATTTGCATTATTCTCACAGCTGATTCTGGTGTAGTCGAATTTTGGAAAAATCTCCTTGACACAAGAATAATCTTCCCGATACCACAAGATTTTGAGGATGCTGAATTAAAAGCTCTGGATTCTTACTTTATGATTAAAGTAATCAGAATTGCCTAAATAAAGATGTGATGATTAATTCAGGTAGCATGCTATACGAAAATAGAAAATGTACCGATGTGCGATTGCCATCAAGTCTGATCGATAGCTTTGGAGGAATGCTATGTCTATCGGATAGTGTGTTCTTTCTGGGAAAAAAGGGTAATGGGTCAGAGCTTCTTATATGAATCTGTTATCTGCAATTATGTGAATTAATTGAAAATAATCACAAAAAAGGTGGCCTGACCTCTGCTGGTTGTGCGATTACTGATACGCCCAGTATCAAGAAGACATATTTTGGCCTATATCTTCTTTTTTACATTCGCTTCAATTATCCTAATTCTATAATAGTCTGGCAATGCAATGAAACAATTTTCTATTAATTCTTACCTGACGGTAATGTGCAAGAAGAGAATATTAGCCTGTTTCATAGGACACTGAGTAGTTGTAATAACTTTTTTCTAGTTGATGCACAATCTTTGACATTTAATTATAATGCCTATATGATCCTGTTTATGTCACCGAAAAGAGAAAGATTTAATGAAGCTGTCAAATGACTGGGTTTTAGTAAATACTTCATGCCAATTTGGGATTAAAAAGAAATCTTCACGCTTTGAGATCTTCAATACAAGAATAAAAAAAATAAGAATGGTGAAGAGTTCACAAGTGAATTATATGATGAATTGTTAGGCAAGTGGAGTCTAATACCCAGATCGGTTCTTTTAAAGTAGGACGATATGTCATTTCAGAGTGAATTCAATAATTTGATTGAAAGCTCTGACTTAGAAACATATGTAAAGTCTATTAATTTGTCAGGCATGCCTACAGATACAGCTAGTGGTAGACTCATACATCTTGATGTAATATCAAACTTTACGAAAGTTGTATATTGTTTTGCTTCTCTGAAGGTAGCTGACTTAATGATCGAGAAATATCTGATTGCAACAAGGACTGACGTTCACAATCTTATTACAAGCAATAATGATCCAATAACTACTATATTTAGAGATAATTAGAGTGTCCAGGAGGCTGCTGCTTTAACAGCCAAATTCTGTTGCAATTGCCATTAGATTTGCGAATTCTGCGGTGACATATAAATAGTACTTTAAAATTTAATACAGTATAATAACTTATCGTGATTGAACAGACAAGATATATTATACCTTATTACATATCTTTTGAATTTGATCGCATTCTAAACTGAAAGTCTAAAGACTTGATAAAATAATATAACTTATATTTCTTTTATTTTCTCGGAAAACATATTTATTAATTTGAATTATAATATAAAAAATTTAACATTACAATAGAATTTTCTGAAAGACATCTTCTACAGTCACTAAGAATATTTTTGTAAGCAGATAAACTACATTCTACATCCACACCTGAAACAGATAACCAAATATAAAATAATGCTATTTTAGATAAAGTCGGTAATGTGTTGCTTTTTTCTATCCAATAGTTATTTAAATCAAAACTTTCATTAAAAATTTCTCGAAGACTACAATATACTCTCCATTCATCAATTAAATTATTTGCAAGTGATACAAATTCATCAATTTCATTATAATTATCTAAGTTATGCCTACTATTTTGTGATTGAATATATTTCGGGTCAAAGCATCTAATTGCTCTAAAAAGAGGAAGTGTATTATGTCTATCAATATGTTTTTTAAACTTATTCCAAGCTAACTTGTATGCTTCACAAAAAATTAATTTATAGCTATTTAAATCAATTTCATTTAATATACATTTTTCAATTAATTTTGTACTTAATGGCAGTTCTTGCATACCATTTGCTAATTCTGCATGAGTCTGTTCAATTCTGGTAATTACATATGTTGCGACAGCTTTATTTCTAATCATAAAAAATTCCAAATCTGTTACTAATCTAAAATATGTATATACTTATTAAAAAAATTTGATTATATTATATATAAAACAAGTATGTAAAAGGTAATATAAAAATCGATCAACACATACGTATATATGTATGTATATATGATACATACCTTTGGGCATTTGACGTAATAAATAGCACCAAGATTTCAAATTTAAGAACTAGTGCAGTATTATAAACGAATTGTGCTAATTCTTGAATCGCAGCACTACTATCATCAATATTTTTTTCTTCTCAATAAAATGTAATAAGAAACGGAATATGTTGATTGATCCAAAAAACAAATTTAAACCAGAAATTCTAACGGGTTTTGACAGGTAAAGGCGGTAAAGTTGCAGCAATAGTATTTAAGCTGACAGTTTAATCCAAATTTGTATCCAAACTCAAATCAAAGCAAGGTGGAAGCGATGTCGTAGTAATGGCATTTAAAGAAAGATGGCTAATCCATCTACGTTTATGTGCTGAACAGTGAGTAAAAGAAGATTTAATTAATGATACAATGTTATCTACTAACTTAAATTGAGAATAATCTACCCATGTCCCGTCAACTAAATTGTAGATATAGGCTAAACAAGTGTTGTGATATAATTTTATAAAAAATGGTTTTAAAATTTGAAACGATTTCAACATATAAGCTGCATTATCAGAAATATAAATTCTAATATTTTCATAAGGGATATTATATAGTTGAATAGTTGATATAACAAATTGTGAAATCATCGTTGAATCAACCTTCTTAAGATGTTTGGTAGCAACCAACTTTGTTTTATTTTTAAAACTAAAAAGAATATTAACAGCTGCTCTACCACAGGCATCTGTTGATTCGTCTATGATAATAGAAATTTGTTGATCTACTAATGCTTCGTGTAATTTATCTAATTCTAATTCGTATAACATCGGTAAGTATTTTTTTCTGAGTTGATTAGATCCGATGATAGAAGTACCTATAACTATATATTGCTATGTACGAACTTATATATACTGTATATATTTAAATTACCAAATTTGCAATGTTTTTTAAGAAATTCTTTTAATTTATCAGATTTTTCAAGAGGTATATTGGCAGCTGTTAAAGCTTGAACAAGACCTAGATTTAATTGTTCTCTTTCAGATAAATGTATAATATTGGTGTTTGGTTGTATGTCTACTGAATTGTTCATAGCATTTTTCACGACTTGGTGTTTTGTTGAAGCAAGATGATCATCAAGTACGGATTTTTTGTTATAATTTAAAGATATACGACAAGCATGGCACTTTAACAAAGTACCTTCGACATAAAAGTCTTGCTTATATTCTGGTATAGAATACAGTTCTTCTATTCTATCATTTGCAGTAACCATTTTTCTTTTGTTAAAAAAAAAAAAGAGGCAAAAACAAAATTACTCAATTCCTCGATTTTTAGCTTTATTAATGATAGAAGAAATAATTGACATCTAATTTTACAATTTAATAATAAAAAAAGACTTTGATTTTTAACTTTATTAGTGACGAAGAAAACGATTGATATCTAATTTTACAATATAATAATAAAAAAAAAACTTTGATTTTTAACTTTATTAGTGACGAAGAAAATGATTGACATCTAATTTTATAATATAATGTCTGAATTCATCAACCAATCATTTATTATAAAAATTCTGCAGATTCTGCTCAAGCAGATTTTTTGCTTTTTTTGCTTGAGCAGGCAGAACTGCGCCAAAATCAGAATTCTGCGCAAATTCTGCCACCACAGACCCCTGGACACTCTAGAGGTAATCTCTTCGAAGATTATGCCTATCTGGAATTGCAAAGAGGTGGTTTGTTTAGGGTGCGATGTCTGAACGATAACTCAGAGATAACCAAAATAAATATCAAGAATCTGGAGTATAAATCTTTCTCTACACTGAATAACGTGAGTAAGGAATGTTATAACAGACCAAAATCAAAGACATTTAAATTGATTGATTCTTTTAGCCTCGATGGCAGAACCTTGAACTTATATCAAATTACTATTTCAAATAACCACAGCATTAAGATAGGGACAATAGTTATAATTTATAGTTTGTAATTATCACTTTTATCACTAACTCAGATTGTACAGATAAAAGGACTGGAAGATCTACTTACATGGATAAATGATGCAGATAACACTAATTTATACTTTGTCATGCTGTCGAATATTTTTGAAACATTTCCTCTGCAAAAATACAAGACAATTAAAGATGAAGATTCTAAGACAATTCCGACGTGGATTAACAAAAAAATAACACAATATGCACTAGAGATCAACTTGGATATTAGTAATAAAAGCGCAAAAAAATGATCTAGTGATGCGATGTCAGGAGAGTTAGGAGACTATAAAAATGAGGAAATGACAGAGAAGGGAACAAATAAAGACGTGAAAAAAAGAAAACTGGAAAAGAGTGAGGAAGATGACGAAACTAAGGAAGCGTCAGGAAGCAAGGTGATTTCAGAACAGCATAATTTGAAGCGATCAAGTAATGTGATAGACAATGAAAGTAAGGATGAGTCAAAGAGTGACGTTGTTAAAAAACGGAAAACAAAAGAGATTGTAGAGAATGAAGGTAGAAAGACGTCAAAGAAGGAAAAGAAAAAAAAAGATGTAATAAAATGAAAAACAAAGTAAAAAATATAGTTATATTGACTTTTAAATCGTGGGGTAAACCTTATTATAATTCGATAATCATAATCGAATTAATCTCTAGCCAAACATTTCAGAGATTTATTTTTTATAGAGTGAGCAAAAAATTTCGAGATTGTTGATCAATCTATTTCAGGAGAGATAATTCTAAAATAACCTTAAACTAAGCTAATTAATGCATTTTATATTACTACTCTATAAATACTTATATGTTTTTGCATCAATAAAGCAATAAAGCAGGCCCTGGTGGCTGATTTCACATACATAATCAGTTTACTTTTGCATATATATTTCATGAATTTATTTTATTGTATTGTTATCGATATATATTAGCTCGCATATTGTCGAGAATTTTTAAATTTTTTTTGGCATTTTACACTTGTTGGATTTAATCCAACGATTTTATCGTGTGGTTAACTTTGTTAACAAAGATAACAAAAACGACTAGTTTTCCTAATGCTATTCTTGAGATTACAATTGAATGATATTATCTACCATATTAATATTTTTTCTTGGCAAAAGTGTCGATGTGAAATAAAAATCTAAGTGTATTAATAAAAAAATTTTTTCTTGACAATTTCTGAGACCGCGTAGTCTCGCAAATTTTTATTGCAGAATGAATGGTTACTGATATTATAACATATCTTTTTATATACTAACGGACTATTGAATATTTTATATCTTATATAAAAATACCATCCATCATGTCAAACACTCAATCCAACAATTCATTAAGGGAATTAAATGCCAAGCTCTTGGCTAAGATTTGTGAGCTTAGGAAGAAGATTGCTGAGGATGAGGTTGAGAAAACGAAACTGAGACAGGAGTTTAAGGCCAGAACTGATGAGCTGGAGGAAACTATATCGCATTATTCAGTTGAGATTGGCAAACTTAATGCTATAATTATAGAACTAGAGAAAAATAAGACAGTTACAGTTAAACTCGAGTCTGAAAACGCAGAATTTAGAGATAGGATCACGAAAGTGGAGAAGAGGCAGATGCTAAGTGATAATGTTTCTAAGGTAATCAATTCTTCTAATAACAGCACGCCTAACTTCAATTCGCTTGCAGATCAGTTATTTATAGAAATGGATATTTCATTATCTGAAGAACTAATACCAGAAGGATTACAAGAGCTAGCTGTTAATATACCTGTTATAGACTAATGTGATCAGACATCCTTAGAAGATAAGGAAACAGATGCTTTCTTGAATGAGGTGTATAAGAAAAAGGTTAGTGATGAGATTAGACAGCGCAATAGAGAGAAGAAACATCGAAAACAAGAATTATCCTCTATATTGGTTGAAGAATTATATAGTGAAAAAGTGAGACCGAAAGTCCCACTTGAGCAAAACAGCAAATCGGTGCTGATACAGTCTGAAGAAACAAAAGTTTCGCATAATTATATAGTCGCCTACCCAAGTTGTAACCAGGCACAAAGTATCATTTCTTCTGAAATAAATATTATAACCGAGCATCAACTCTGCAACCCCGGGTTTCACCCTCATGTGACTGAAACTAAAAACGATTCAATTCAGAAGGATAACCGAATTGAGATGCAAAAATTTATACAAGAATTATATTTGGAACCCATATCAGAAGAATTAATTGAAGTTATTAAAAATAAAGAGCCGGATATATCAGATCACAATGAAAATGACAAACATATTATTATCAAATTGGCATATTTCAAAAAGCAAGAAAAGCTAAAAAGAATACTATCTATGCTAAGCAAAAAGAAATTTTAAGCTGGTATTATTATGTGAAAGGTTTTGAAAGGAGGGTTAATGATAATTTATCTATCTGCCGAAATAATAAAAAAGCAGATGACTTGGCAAGAATTCAAGTTTATAATGAAATTTAGGATTGTCTTTCTGGTGTCTCACGTAAGAATTTCTGCAAGCAAACTCAAAAAGCTTGTAAGATTTATAAATTATTTAACAGTATAGGAAAGGATAAGATTAAACAAGTTAAATCTTATAATGCGAATGGAATATCAAAACTTTCTAACTCACAAATTCAATATATTATAGAACATTTTACCAAAGAATCTTGAAATAGTAAGGATACTTTTACTTCTAACAAGGTGAAATGTGTACTGTGCGACCTCAGATCTTACCCTTATGTGACTAAATTGTCTAACTCAAATGATTTAGAGGTAAGTGCATCACCTATATCTCCATCTAATCCAACTCGTAATCATGTTTATTTCTGTAATAAAATATTAAAGCAATATCCTAATTTATGCCAAGAAGGTAGTGATGGAAATGACAATTATTACGGAATTACTGATAAATCATTATATCCACTATGTAAGTTGGATCATAATGATGAAAATGGTATAGAAGGCAGATATGAAATTGAATCTTATAATCTTAAATGTGAACAGTGTAAAATTGAAATTGAGATAACAGCATAAACCCTGCCTTCCTTTAACTATAGTTAAGGGCCAGCTCAGCCAGAAAGTAAGTGATCACTATATATACTTATATTTAAACAGAAGCTAATTACTTTTTTTTCTTTTTTCGAATTTATGAGAAAAAAAGCTCTGAGGCATATTTATTTTTCTCAGATATTATCAATTTAAAGAGATGTACAATTATATAACATAGCAACATGAATTCACAAACAAATACCAATAAAATATTAACTCCTGAATATTTAGAGTGGGAAGCTAAATTAATAAAATTACCAAGCATTTTGTCAGATAAAATTCGTTCTAGGTTATATAAAAGATATAAGAATAAAACTGAACTCGATCCTTAGATAAACTTTGAAACTTCTAGATCCTCCCAAATCGAAGATAACAAAAAGAAAACAGAAGTACGCATATTACCTATAAACAAAAATACATTTCTCAATTCTCGTCTTCTAATTTCTATTTTACCTGATAATCTAAAAGAAAAACGAAATCTTGTTATCAAAATAGCTGATTTCAAGCCTATTATGTTCGAAGCCAGATCTGATTCAGAATTAATTATCAAATCCGTCTTAAAGCACTTCCCATACTTGAAGTTCCGAAATAGTTTTAGAGAAATTGATAATTATAATTTTGCATCACCTCAGCCATGGAGCTCATCATGCCCTATTTGTAATGGAAAACATGGGAATTATAGATTATATGGCGAATAGGATAGAAATGAAACAGAATATTGCCTTGCCTGCAACAGTTCAAGCAATGAACTCAAGTTCGTGATCATAGCATAGGCCAGTATCAACACGTGATTGTGTAAATATTGGAATGTTTATACTGGAATCTAATATAACCGTAATAGCATAGATTAACTCAATAGTCTCATTTTTTTCTCGCAAACTCGAAAAAAGAAATGTAGTAATCAATTCAGGGTTCATTTACTTCTTGACTTCAAGTAATAAAATCACGAGAAGGTAGTTTATAAACTACATTATAAAAAATCGTGTAAAAATAAAAAATTGGGAGCTCAGTAGGCCCCTCCCTTTATTATTATAAAAAATTATATTGCCGGGACGGCAATATACAAATAAAAAATATATATATTGCTGTTTCAGAAGCGAATACAAATAAAAAAAAATCTAAATAATTTCTGTTTTTGTTCCTGGTAATTGTTTTACAAGTACATAAATAATATTTTGATCGGGATTATTTTTGTAAAGAGTATAAAGATCAGTATAAGGTTGTATATTTACGTATATACTTTGGGTGGGGCAAAATCTAAGAAGTCAGCGGGGTGTACTAGTTGCACCAGATGGTAATAGGGACAAGCAGGCTTGAACTTGAGTTTCTAATGATTAAACACCATTTCCATTAAAAACTTTGATTTTAAAAAAATGATACGGTAAGCAAAGCGTGATGAGACAGTTAAGATAAACATATTTGTTAGTCTTAAGGTTTGGTTCGTTAGCTTTGAGAGTATCGTTAGTACTGCTTATTTCGTTCCTAAATACAAAAAATCATAGTAAGTAAAAATTCGTCTTCATAGTCTCCATTAAATAGCAAAAACATTACTTTTTAAAAAAAAATTCGGCAAGTAAATCAAGTAAAAAATATATAAGCAAAAAATATCGTTATTGCTAACTTATCTTATAGGTAGGGAACTTGCTTATTTTTATATTATCGATTCGCTAGATCTAAAAAAACTTGACAGAAAAAAAGTTATATGTTTAGTAATTGGGTTAAAGTAATTCAATCTAGATCACACTATGTAAAGCAAGTTCATTCGGCCATAAGCTCCATATACTGAATGTATTTTATTATTTTTATAGGTGAAATTAAACCCCCTTAGATTTGACAATCGTTTAAAGTGGGTTTAGATCTGATGATCTTGGAAGATGGCGGAGATTCGAAGTCCCTATAACATATAAATTTTGATAAGCTACTGATTAAGAACGTTATACTCATTGCCCTTATAGCCTTTTTAAGTCTCTTTCTTATTGTGGGATCTTATATAATAAGAAAAGCATGGTCTAGTTAATCGTAATATTTGTTAATAAAAAAAAATTGACTGTGAGAAATTAAGGTAACACCGCATAAAGTTTAATGCAGGCTATTGATTAATAAAGCTGATCAAGTTTTTATTGCTATTTTAGCTTCGACCCCTTTTTTCTCATTTCATTCGAAAAAAGAAAATTTTGTCTGATTGAATTTGAAAAAAAGATGGATTATTAGATTTCTTTTTTCAAGCCTGCGAGAAAAAAAAGAGGGCCAAAATAAAAGCAAACCTGCAGGACCGTTAAATCATATAATATAACATAATACGTACTTTTTTTTTCTAGCATAGATCAATGTAGAAATAAATTAGCAAAAAAAGTGATGCTAAATGTTTGATCAACATGTTTTGTTATAATAGTATAAATAAAGAAGTGCATAGCGCTTATTCTAAATTTGTAAATCAGGCTTAAATATATATGTAACGTGTAAAATTATTACCCGTACACCTTTCAATAAGTTAATAGATTTGTCATGTCCAATAATTGTGGTGCCGAATTTAGTAAAGAATTTAATTATTTGTACTGTAGAAATTATCATGCTACATTAAGATGCCAAATAAAAAATATTAGTTGACTCGTGTTTAATTATTGCAATGCCGAGTCATTTATATTGCATACTACTTCGTTCAAATTATTACAGTATATACTGAACTAATAAAAATAAGCTGTAATTTATAATAAAAGGGTTCAGTACAAAGTTCTGTTCCGAATTCAGGTGAAAAAAAGCAGTTGATAGAACGTGGTTGCATTAAAAAAGCATACATATGTATTTACAAGTATTTTTGAAAACAAACCTGCCCCTCGAATATTCACGGCCTAAAAATCGTTATGCATATTGATTGAACATCCCGCATAATGCTTTCTGTACCATGACTGAACAATCTGGTAGAATAACATAGTTGAATGTAGGAATATTTATGGCTTTTTGTTATCAGTAAAACCACCCCTTAAAAACAACCATATTGTCATTAATAATATGCTCTGCATCTAGTGCTAATTTAGATTATATAAATCCCTTTAGAGCCATTTTTTTATCGATTTTCCACTCTTCATACTAGATTGTTTTGTGTTGATCGGTTGACCTTTCCAAGCTACTATTGAATATACTCAGTTATACAAAAAATTTCAGATCTATTATTGAAACGATAGAGCCTCTACTGAGTATATTTGTGGTTCAACAGATATACAGTTATTATTTTAATAACCCAAGTCCACAAAAATATACGATTTATTCTTCAATAATATAGTCTTCTTAGATGCAGTCATAACCTTTTGAGGTAGGCTTAGGGTCCGACTGTTACCTCCCTAAAATTCATTTTTTTCTATATTTATAAACCACTTATAGTGAGCGCGATCGTCAACTATCATTGCCTTGTAGTAAAGGAAAACCGAATGAGCTTCTTATGGTTAGTCCACTGAACTACAAGATAAGAAATAGTTTGAATGTATCCACCTTGCTTTTTTGTTATTATACTTCTTCCCCGTTATTCATACAAAAAATTCATTTCATATATACATTTTTTTTATACACCACTTTGAGGGTACGATTGTCAGATTATCATTGTCTGCATAGCGAGAAAGACCCGATAAGCTTCCCACGGTTTAGTCCACTGAGCTATTAGATGAGAAATAGTTTGAATGTATCCATCTCGAAATCTAAATAAACAGATATATACCTTTTTTTCTTTTGCCCTGGGCATGATCGTTATCCTCAATATGGGGCGTGTGTAAGGAGGAAGATAACGCAGACTTCCTAAACAACCGAACTATACTACAGAGAGTGATTGAATGTATCTACTAGAAAAAATATATAAACAAAATCTAACCTTGCCAATGGAACTTAATACGTCTATATTGCCATCAATGAATAAAGTTACATTCAACTGAATTAGATAAATAATACATTTTTATTTTCTTGCACGAGATTCCATTGTATTGATAGATCAACCGCCCAGGTTACTTATTACAGGTATATATAGTTATGCAAAAAATTTCACTTGAGTTTTCACCTCTTGACGATAGAGCCTCTATCTATATGTATTGTGTATTTGAAAGGGCATAATCATCATTGCTGGTGGCCTAGTACTTTGACTTGGGTAGTTCGTTCAGTCTGCAAAAAATTAATTAGATGATTAGCCGGATAGCGTAAAATATAATTTTAAATCTTATTTCTTAATTTTTTATATGAGATACTACTCAACTATAATAACTTGCATAAGTGAAACCTTTCTAGATAAAGGCGAATTTCTTCAGATAGAAGCATATATATTAGATTATTTATATGCAGATTTCTAAAGATTATGATGGTTGTCTACCGCTTTTCTAATGCTATTCTTGAGATCACAATTGAGTAATATATTTTTTATATTAAATTTTTTTTTATCTACTTCCAATATAGGTAGAAAAGTGTTGATGTGAAATAAAAATGAATCAGATATTTATTATACTATACTTGTTACAAACTACTATAAGACATTGAAATTGCTTTAAATCAATAAAATCAGCGAAATTGCTATAAATTGCTAAATATGCTCGGTGACATGGTTAAATTATAATAGATGATATTTATAATAAAAGAGTATCTAAACCTAACAATCTTCATTTCGGCTATGATATAGAACATGTTTTTAACTATCAACCTCAAACTGATGACTATTGCTATAAAAAAGTGGTTAAAATAGAAAAACAATATGATTATTTATCTATTATTAGGCCTCATGAAATACCTCAGCAATGGGCTAATCATGTAAGAGGTCCTCTACAAGAACTACTTTCTAAGCGAGAATATAGTGTTTATTATGTATTCTGCCTCTTTGCTTCATTTGGAGAAGGAATAACCAAGGCGTATTATAACCATATTAATGGTGAGTTAATAGATATTCCATATGAATATCGCAGGTCTAGAGTTCACAAGAGTGAAATAGCTATTTGTTTCAAATGCTGGAAATTGGT